AAAATGTAATTCTCGACCACAAATATTACAGTACAGGTACGAAATCAGCTTAGACCCTGTAATTAAACGGCTGAAATAACTGCAATACTTTATTCCACATAAATTTAAGAAGCTTTCATTTGTTGGTTTGCAAATGAAATGGTTTCTGTTGAAAATAATTATGATAAAGTAATGAAGTTTAGATAAATAGTTATGGTTAAAAATTGTTGCGTATTTATCGAAACTAATCTACATTGATATAAGTGAAAAGCTGAAGTTGGCTGAAGTTTAGGTATAGTAGCAGTAATGATTATTTTAAATTTATATATACGTGAAGAATGTAATAGGTATTCATTACAAATAAGCACAATAAAAAAATTAATAACGAAAAATAGTTTTCTTTTGTGTCTAAAAAAAATATAAATTGAAAGAAAGACTTTTTATATGTAAATATGTTTAAATATATTTTATTTTAATTATATTTCCTCCAGTTTATTAAAAGAAAATGAGCTTCATACCTAATTAAAACACATATCGCACATTCTTTGTAAAGGCTATATGGCTAAATTTAAATACTTAATTAACGTAAATTTGTGTAATTTCTGCTTAATTACTTTCTTCACAGCGTGTCAGTAAAAAATTGAATTCATTTGTTTTCCCTCCAGCTACAACACTACAGTACAGTACGCACTAAATTCACGCTTGTTAATACAAGTTTATTTCGTTGCCTGAAACTATGCAATACTTTTTCTTTTTTGTGGCATCTATCTGAATGGAATAACTAAATTTGCTGAACTTCATTTGGGTAGAGATATATGCGAGACTATGTGGGGACTAATTCTATCTCTAATACTTTTTTTCACTTCTTTTATGTTGTTTAATGCCACCTTTAATTGCTCATGTATCCACTTTTTTTGATGTGCTTTCTAATATACCAACTACAAGTAAATTAAAATATTTTGCATCAGCAAACTAACCCGCATAGTTTAACTTCAGCACATTTACAATTCTAAAATATGTAATAAAATTACTTTTGTTAATTATACAGTTTGAAACATTCATACGCATACATAAATTCCTGCCACAATTTGTAGCATGTGCAACTTTTTAATTACAATTAGTGTTTATGTATGTATTTAAGTGAGCGTATATGTGTATATGTGTGTGCGCTTGTCAAGAAGTGCGGATAGAGTTTTATAACTGTAGCTACCTTTGAAGTAAATTCGAATACATTCTGTTGCCTTTAATTTTTTTATTTTGTATTATTAACATGCTTATCCTTTAGTAGACTAAACAAAAAGCAAAAATATGAAAAAAAATTGTTATAATTTTAATGAAAAAACTTTAGGGCTGGTGGGCGACTAAAGTTGGAAAAGGGTTAACTTAGACGAATATACTGTACTATATAATATACTTTAAAATATTATAGATCAAATTTTCGATTTATATTCGAACGCAAATTTTCTATTGGAGTTTTACTCGTTAGCTTATTTTTTTGCTAAATATCTTTCAGCATAATTATTAAAACCCAAGTCACATCTAAGACTTAATGGGTACAATATCCACAAAGCATTTTTACCTTATAATCTTAAGTGTCATGGGATAAAAGTCTAATTTTATAGTTTCTCACACTTGTTATATTTTTAAATTTTATCTTTATACTAGGATGTTGCCTAATCCTTTTAGACCTAATCCTTTTTAATATGGTGGTTCAACATGATGACATCAAAATTCTTCAGAAAACGACGAATATCCATTATTAAAAATCTTGATATCAATAGTACTAATATACATCTATGTAGGCTATCACTAAAATATCCTTTAATATGCGAATAGGATCTGAAAAAAGAGTAAGTGACAGCTAAAATTCAATAAAATAATGGAACCACTCAAGAAATCTGGATATTGGTTTCATTTGAAAAATTAGATTGCTTGCCATGTTGATGACACAGTGTTCATATCGGATAATGAAAAAACTCAACAGCGATTATTATATATATGTGGTTTAAGGCGCGCAGCTGCAGTACACAATACAACTCCATAAGTAGAGAAAATAATGTATTTTATCAAACAACTAATGAGATGTGAGCTTGCAGCTTACGATAAACCAATTGAACTGGAGATGGTCCAAGATTTCATCATTCAACAAGTTGCCTAGCTAGATGCATATTAGAACAGACTCTAGTACTTTAGTGTAGGACTAAGAGCAATGAAAGAAAAAGCCGGTAGTTTAGTCCGCTCTGGGGTTTCTATGAATGGTTCCCTAGGGGTACCGGTATATATTTGCCCAGAGACCATTAAGAGAGTCACCTAACTTCTATTTCTATAGCTAGGTAATAATTAGTGGATGTCACTTATAATTGGATAACTGCAGTGTTTAACTACCTACTGATGTATTTGATCCCACATAGAAAGAGTGCGCCTTCGTTCAACATTTATTATAGAAGTTTGCAGAAACTTGAAAGAAGAAGAGGCATCATACATTTTCTCTGTGATTGCACAGTTTTAGCCAACAAAAAGAATAGCGTTTTTGGAAAGTACTTTCATGATAGTCTTTCAGACCGAACATCAGTCTTTAACAAAACAAAAGATCTATAAAACTACATAAATTGGATTTAGTTCATCTACTGGGGTTTCTTGCGAGGAATTTTGTATTAAAACGGCAAATAATAATCAATTAATAATAATTTAATAAATTCAATAAATGATGTCATAAAAATAGTTATTTACGAATTTTTCATTAGGGATTTTATGATCTGCGAAACCCTTACAGGCAGCAAAGCATAAAAAAAGGTGACAACACAATATTGCCGCTGGTTGGTTTATGTTGGAGCATGAATATTAATTTATTTTATTGTGGCATTTTATCATTTATAATTTAAATATATGGCCAAAGATACTTGAATGCTATGACTATTGTACACTACTGCCTGTAAGCTATATGCCATTCTTAAATATAGCAATACGGTAAAAAAACTTAATTATTTCAATGGTTTTGCATAAGTAAATTAAAATGGTTAATAAGTAACAGAGAACATATCGGATTAATGGAATAATTGGATTGAAAGATATACTTAAAATTTTATTAAACTCACAAATATACAAATATATTTTAATATGTAGTTGCGTCAATATGTACTCATATGTACACATATTTAGTGAGGACCCTTTATACAAAAATGAATATATACGATATAATGCATATGGTGGATTCTAGTGCTTTTATATTGGTTGAAAAGTCCCAATATAGACGTATAGATGGAGTCGCAAGGTAAGAAAATACTTACTTTCAAATAATCTCATTTAGAATTTCTGCCTTTAGTGACACTTTTTTTGCTATTTTTATTTATTAATGTCTTAAAATAATTTTTATTATTTTTAAGCTCGAAAAAAATACCAGATTTCATCTTTTAACTCTTGCAATATGCTTTAGCTTTAAATTCAAGCAGCACCTTGTTTTTGCAAAACGTTACAAATACGAATCCTTATTTTAAACTAACATTTTGACATATTGCAATTGACTTTGGATCTTTCTAAAGTATCCAAAAACATATTCTCATTTTTGTTTTTAATATAAAACTTTTCATCATTATAGCATTAATGCTCGAATGAGTCTTTTCTTATTTCAATAAGCAATACCACATCTCTTAATAATTAAAAAATTTTCTTAAATCTATGACTCCTAAATAATAGATTTCAGCTTCAACGGACTTTTTCTTCTAGACATGTGGCGTGTCCAGGCGATACGGTTTCAAAATTTCTTTACTAGTTTCTTTATTGTTTTTACATATTCTTCGAAATTTATCAAATCTTACCATTTTGGATTAGTATTTTAATATTTCTGGTTCCTCATTTAAATGTATGCCATTTATTGTACCTTTCAGCCGAATGGGTACGAAAAATTGTCTTCGGAATCCAAGTAATTGAAGCGCTTTGTTTGGATTTAATACCTATATATCGTAGCCATCTGTTAATACTGCTCTCGTTTCCATTTGGCCTCAAGAGTAGTATTTTTGTCTTTTTGGTAATAATCTATATTTGAGCAATTATATCTAGACGAAGTTTTCTAATTCTTCCATGAATTATTTCTTCAAAGGTTTTGAACTATGTATATATATTTTATACAGTTATGTACTTAGTTAAGTCAATGTTTACATCAAGTCTTATGGTGAGTATAGATTTATGAACTTATTAATATATTAATTAATATTAATAATATTAATATATTAATGTAAATACTCGAAATCCAGTACATTTTTTAATAGAATTTGTAGCGATTGTTAAAAGTAAAGTTTAGCATTTCAGCAGTTACTTACTAGTGAACGACTTTTCACAAGTCGATCGCTTGAACGAAATAATCAAGCAAACGTGAGCAAAAGGGGTTCGATAAAATATTGATCGGCCACATACACCTTTGATAACTAGGAACAAATGCACGGGCCTGATTAGGAAGTATTAATGCTACCAGCGTATAGCTCGAACTTTGGTAGTCGAACTATCTGACTACCATTTGTTTCGATTTTTGTAAAATTTTCTTAATGTTAAAAAATTGGTCGACCAAAGACTCGTTTAAACTATTTGGACAAGTTTTGCCCTTTGAATTAAATTAGTCATTGTTCCTTATTTAATAACGCTGTAAACACAGTTAGTTTTGAGTTTTATGCAGCAGATTTTTTTATGGACCAGATGAAGCTCAATACTAGAGCTTCTTATACCCAAAAATATATTTTTCAATCTCATTTCAAGAAGAAAACCTTTCTTTTAAATAATATAATATACATAAATAATAATATATATTTTTGGTCAATTGATAGTAACTAGCTACTTAGACCTAAAATAATTGTATCACTTCAGTGCCTTTACTTTCTTAGTATACAAAAAGAGAGTACTTCATTTCTGCAGCTTTGAATTGTCTCCTTGATCATAAACTGTTCATGAAATTAAAAAATATTAATGTTGAAAAAATATTGTACAATATAATATATGTATGTATTTGATATTATTCTGTTTCATATACATTCAGATATCTTATTTATATTACAAATAGAAAAATTTCCTCCTATCGTATTGACATTGACTAAATAATTTTTATAAATAATTTTTATAAACACCTAAAAAATTTAGCACACTTTTTTTCAACGTATTGTGCTGGTATTCCAATGTATAAAAAAAATTGTTTGATTTCCATAAATTCATCTGTGTGTCATACATCAGGACGGATGCTTAATTACTAGAGATACATCACATTTCATATACTACAGGCTTAAAAAAGTTTAAAACTATGTTTCACATTTGATTTGCGTAAAAAAGTTAAAATAATTTTTTGTTTTTGTTTTTTTTTTTTGAATTTTGAAACTGTTGTTGTTGCAATTGTTTTTTGTTATTATTGTTTGTTGCATCAATAGTACACTAAAGCGCATATTTTCGCACGTCAATTTGAAAATCACAATAACAACAAATGACACTTCATCGATTCTACTCAATGTCCGGTCGAGTTGCATTCGCCTACAGCCTTGCTGTTGACGAGACGAATTAGTACAACAAGGTTTTGTCCTCGTACATGCTGTCCCAAAGTTTTAGCTTGTCCGCCTCCGGCAAATCAATCACTTGCAATTCATCGGAAATATTCAAACATTTGAATGTCTTATCGGCGCGTGCAACAGGCAACCAACGCTCCAATGGCTTCATCAACTGCTGTTGCTTTTTGTGCGGTTCCTGTTCCATTGGTGTTGGTGATGCATCAATTACCAAACTATCAGTGTCGCATAGATTTGGTAGAGAGCCTGTCGTATTTGCGGTGTATGTGCTTGTGCTGGTGTATTGTTTTTCAGTGGGCAGATTTGGATCAGCGCACTCGGCGAATTGCACCAAAATGGAGACCATGCGTCGTATGGTTTTATATTCTGCACTGCACAATTTTTGTTTTTTGGACGCAGCATTGAAAAATAGATAAACTAAATCATCTGCATGACACGTGCCTCGTACCTTGCGGCCACAGAATATTATTCGCATAAGATTGTGGTGCTTCGAGTCGAAATCGAAGCGATATAAATATGTCGGTGCGGTGGCATTGTGAACCCGCGACAGCACAGTGCGATGTATGCCATGCCAAAAGTATTTGTATGAGCAGACCTGTTGTGGAGAAGAGGAAATCATTAAATAAAGTAAATTGTAGAGGCCAACAAGTATACCAAAAACAAAAAAAAAAAGCACAAAAAATGGAATAAAATTACAAATTTATATGCTTACATCGCTGTAGTGCAATATTGTATCCCAGCTGGGTTCCTTTTCGCCAAAATAAGTTTCTTTTAGCTGGCGTCCATATTCTTTACGCTTTTCATCACTTAAATTTGCGTCCATTGGTGTGAGATATTCACAGTCGCCTAATTTAGTAAGCAAGTCTGGAAATTTTCTTGCTTCAGGAAACACTAGAAGTCCTTCAAATGAATTGCCTCCTATTAACATTGGTATGTCATTCCCCCAGCAATTACGCATCATGTCCAGTGGTGAAGTCGGAATTACGCAGTGTGCGCTGTCATAAGGTTCGACTGTGGGACCAAAACTAAAGTTGACACGTTCATGTCGCTCGTCCATGGTGAGCAGTTCATCAGCTACTTTTGTTATGCTGCTTGCTTTGCTTTGTTGTAGATATTCCAGTACGGCGGCATCGATATTTTCACCTTTATAACCAGTTGCCTTGGCTAAACGGTAAGCCCAGTTACGTTGTGGTATGTTGGCCCAAGGTGCTAAGGCGCTGCCTGACATAATGACAGCTTTATGGAACAACCCCCGTGTCTGCTCTGTAAGCATCATGTAGTGTGTAGAACCACCACCGGCACTTTCACCGAAAACTGTTATATTGTCTGGATTGCCACCAAAAAAGTGGCAATTACGTTTAACCCATTTTAGAGCTAAAACTTGGTCTTTCAAACCAGCATTGCCAGGCACATCTAAATTCTTTTCATTGAGCGAAAGAAATCCTGAAAAGAAATGAAAGTTTTTTAGAATTATAGAGAGATTTTTAACAAAAAGTTTTTAGGATATTTTAAGAATATAACTAATCGATTTAAAAATTGGCAAAAATGCATATAAACTTGACAAATTCAGAAAACAAGATGGCAATATATTTTTTAACAAATGTAAAGTTTTAGTTCCATCAATTTGAATTTGAAATTCAATCAAATAAATTGTTATTGTTGAAATATATTAATATTAATAAATAGAAATTATTTCTCTTATATGATAGTTAATATTATTATATTTACCTAATGGTCCTAATCTGTATGATATTGTTACAAGCACAACATTCTCCATCATAAAATAGTCAGGACTATATATCTCTCTGGAGGCCTCACCCATTTGAAAACCGCCACCATATATCCAAACCAGTACCGGCATTAGATTTTCATTCTTCAACTGGAAGTAAATAAAAAAACCTTTCCTATATTTTTAAACATTTAATAAAGTTCAATAATAAACTTTAAATACTTCCAAAGACCATCAGCTGTGATAAATATTTATCAATATTCGAAACATTTGTTTGGTCAACTTAAGAATTAACTTAATTAAAAATAACCGATTAACTCTATTTTTAAAAAATTTAAAAATAAAATTAAATAATCAATGTAAATAAAAATATTATTTACATATAATATACAACATAAACAATATTTTAAAATTAATAGTATGAAGCAATATAATAAATAAAAATATTATAGTAGATATTATATAAAAAAATATAAAACAATGAAGTTTATTAAAAATAAAACAATTAATAAAGTAAATATATAGTGATATAAATTAGTAATAATAATATATTATATATATATTATATAAAAATAAACAAAATATTAAAAAATAAATGTATCGTACATAGATAATATTTATATATTGATATTAATAAACCAAAATATATTCATTTTAAAAATATTTTATCGAGGTATGAACTTATCCAATACAATTGTTAATAATATTTTTATTAAGCTTACAGTTTTTGTGTAGACATTCAGATACAAACAGTCCTCCTTGCCTTGTATCTGTTTAAGAATGATATTCATCTGTGTTGGTTTAGAACGTTCACGAGTACAGCGCTTTACTTCTGTCCATGGGTCCGGTTCCTCAGGTGCTTTGAAGCGTAGCTTGCCTAAAGGTGGTTTTGCAAAGGGTATACCTTCAAAACTGTAGTAAGTGTCGCCATAAACTGATAACCATTTGGCACCTTTAATAGGTCCATAAACTGTGTTTGCTGTTACACGATCTGTAGTGCGCAAACGTCTTTGACGGGTTTTGAATTTAACATAGCTGTAAATGATAAGTTAAATAAAATATGAGTACAAATAATTATATATGTGTAAATGATTTAGTTGTATTCAAAAAATTCAAAACTATTGTCATATAATTATATTATCATATTATATTCTTACATATAATTATGACTTCTCAAACCAAGAACTTACACTAATGAAACTTAAAGGTTTTGCATGAAAGATAATGAAATTGATAGGACTTTGCTCAACAATTATACGCATACCCAACAATTATATGCGTACCTTGCGTACCTATACGCAAGGTACGCATCTTATTTCGGTTTAAGAAATAAAATCGGTAGAGCAGATTCAATACTACAATGTACAGAAAAAATCGGGATTGGAAAAATATTCTAAATTTATTAAGGGTTCATAAGAAATTTCTAGATAGCAGTGCGAAATCCCCCTAATTAAAATTAATAATCGTTTTATATAATATTTACATATATCATATTGTTTATTATTTTTAAATAATCTAAAAACAAATTTAAATTAATTATGTATATAACTCCGAAGTAATAAAAGAGCAATTCCAGGGGGAATAAGTCTCGTTGAAGTGCGGGTGTTTTTGTGCATATAGTACATATCAGACTGTTACGAAGTCGGCTGCACTATTTACATAATGGTCAGCTTGACAGTGTATTAAGCATTTTCCCTTTCAGCCACAAGAAAAAAATTTCATGTTTATTAATATTTATAACTTAAAATTTATTATTATTGTTATAGTAACATATATAATATATAAGTTTATTTCGTAAAGTAATGCGTATATATTAATAAAATTTATATAAAAATATATGTTAAGTAAGTCTAAATGCAGTGAGTAAAGTATTTAAACAAAATGAGCTCATCGAGCGTTTGACAGAGTGATGTCCTGATTTCTCGAATTTAAGTCAAAATTATTAAACAATACAAAATATTAACAATGAAGAAGTATTACCAGTGATAAAGGTACCCGACTATGTTGACAGTATTGACCTTATAACGAAAAACATTAATACGGTAAGCATTACACTCAAGAAATTGTAAAACTTCACCTTTAGAAATGGATGTGCAAAATGTAGGCAAAATCAAAGATCAATTTATAATGAAAATTGGTTTATGGTCAATAAATATCTACTTATTATTAGGTGATAAAATTGTAGCAATGTATGACGGAGTTCAATCAGCGTAAAGCATATCATCATTGTCACAAATCTAAATTAATTTAGAGAAATTGAAACATCAGTAAGTATTGGTCTCTAGTTAGTCTACATAGGTATTTGTGTTTTGAATTTTTAAACTTGATTAAATAAACTAGTTTTAGCATATGCCAAACGGGTATTGCTAAATATTACCTTGTGGTACTACACTATAGGTCTTATCAAATTTAACTCAATTGCGAGCTCGATCATATAGGTATAATACTAATGGAAGAAAATGAGATAAAGTATATGAACTCTTAATATTTAGAGCATGTATGGGTGCGAAGAATGTACCTCTACAGTGTGGGTATTGAGTGGGGGCTATAATAAATTAAGAGCATCGATTAGTGGGTATGATTGAGGCCATTAGTTTGCATGATTGGGAAGCTATAATATCATATCGGGAGAAAAGGAAATGGTTTGGTTATGGATACATTGGTCTATCAATCTCTATTACATATAATCCAAAATGATGTGTAGTTTTTTCAATATTCCAAACACGTTTCTAAAGATTGTTTATGTTTCATTCAAAAACATTTTTTACAATTTTAATGTAATGCAAAATCAGTAATAGAGACGTAATCTCTATTTGTTATTTCGCAATTGTTATTTATTGCTTCAATTATTAAATAAAAACCCAGTCCGGCATGCATGCTCGCTTAATCGCATGCCTAATGGATTAACAATGCAGTAAAATAAATAAAATTGATAAAAATTTTGTTATAATTTATTGCAGATTGCAATAATGATCCTCTTATTCCCATGCAATTACTTGAATAATTCATTTATATTTATTGTCGTTTTATTGATAAAATTTAAAGAGCAAAGTTCAAATACGTCTAATGTCTTGTCGATTGTCTTATCGGACTCAGTGTGCTTTAGATACTTTTGAAAACTTTTTAAAGCGCAAGTGAATCCGGTTCAGTTAAACTGTCTAATCAGAAGAAATAAAAATAACCAAGTGTTTATTATTTAGTACGTATATTATTACATATATACATAGAAACATATTTGTTAACATAAACACACAAACTTCGCTTTATTTATACAAAGTTTATATTTAATTTATTTAACATTTGTTGAGATTATACATTTTAGTTTATTTAAGGCAGTTTGTAAAATCAACTAAGAAATCATTTTAAATTTCTTTTTGCAAGATTGCGTTGTGTAGATAATTTGAAAAAAATTTGAAATTCTTATAATAAATTTTATGTACGTACACATTTGGATGTATATCAACTATTGTACTTGTGATATAAATTAATATCAACAAATTTAAACTAAGTTTTGAGAAGTATAACAGCTCTGTGAATCAAGAATAAAAACAAAAAAAAAAACTAATGCAGTTGGCATTAAAAATTTAAATAAAAAATAATAAATGTTCTTTAATATATTTAGAATTTTAGAATGAACGCAATTCATGAAATCAATTTAGAAACATTTAAATTTAAAAATATTCTAAAATTTTTGTAGATATTTTGATACTTTTGCTGTATTACTTTTTAAATTATATACTCTTACAAGTTTATATATGATGACATTATCTCCACATGATATTTTAAGTATGATGTATTGTTTTTTCCTAGAATGAACTTCCTGATGACCATCTAAAGTTTGTCTATAAGTTTAAGTAGTTGCAATGACATGTAATGGGATATAAATTGCTGTATTTTTGACAATGTTATATAGAATTTAATTTTAATTTCAATTTATTGTATTCTGTTCTGGTCCTGGTTAAAAAAGGTTGGGAACCACTGGCATAGAGAAAGATTCAGGTAACATCATTATGATGGGAAAGTAGCCGATTTGCTTTTTGAGATTATATTACCACAATTTTCATGTTTCAATAGGTACATGCTTGTCCAGGAATTATGCTATTTACTATATTTTTACCATGTGTGTACACTTCTACCAAGTAGTACAATAATTCCAAGACCACTGCTGATGATGAGTATTTGGCAATACTCAAAACAGCTGCATGGTCAGCCAAAAATTAAATTAATTAAGATAATAAAAAATATTTATTGTTGTAATTAAATACAGTTCGAAATACCTCTCTATTGAAAACAATTGTTTATATTAAGAATTAAGTTTCTTTCCTTAAAGCGGGCATTAAAAATTAATTAAAGTTTAATTGCATCACAAAAGGGTTAATTCAGCTTTAACTGCTGAATTATTAAAAGTGCTGGTCTAGGCGAAATGCAATTAAAAGCAATTCTCCAATGTTCAATTTTATGTTTACGTCTAAATTGTGGATATCAAAATATTTTGTCAGTTTTGTTTTTAAATCGAAACTTGAGTGCATTTCCATAAAATGTTCAAAATTATAAGTATATTTTCAATTTTATTGTTGATGACAAAGCAGAATACTGGCTTTCTTGAAGAGAATGGACGAATCATTGAATTCGATTCATTTGATGAATTTAAAGTAAGTAAAAAAAATGCGTTTCAATTTAAAACAAAATAAAAAGAAAGTTGGAATGAATATATAAAATTTATAACTATTAATTATAACTATTACTGATATATTCCTAACTCACTTATCCGATTTCTTGGCATAAATTAACGATGAGTGATTTTGATGCCACGTTACTTATTTTTATGTAATGTTGGAAATGGTAGATATTGACTACTTCATTGCTAAATGTGAATAAATATTGTGTAACCGATAAACCAAATAATATATCGTTTAAATACATGTAGTGTTTGGTTGAGCTTATAGTCAAAGTTATAATTTTTAAACAAATTTTACTACGCTTGGGTATAGAGTACTACAGTGGAGATTTAAATTAAACTAAATTGATTTAGATTATCTAAATTCAAAAACGATTTAAAAAGTAATAAGAAACACTAATAATAAAACTGTTACTAGAACTTCAACAACAAAAGCTACACTCATACCTACGATGAATTTCGTAGTCGCACTGCATTTGAGGAGAATCGCGATGCGGTACGTGAACACAACAAGCGTTTCAAGAGCGGAGAAACCTCCTACAGATTGCGTACAAACATGCTCTCTGATTTAGTAAGAACTGTCATATATATATAGATATTAATTTGATATAATAAAAATATTTTCTTTTTTTTTTATATGTCATTAGAGCAACAAATCTTATTTAAAGGCTTTTTTACGCCTTTTACGTAGTAAACGTTTCGAATCATTAGACTTGGGTTCCGAAATTGTTGGTTCTCCTTTAATGAAGGATACACCTGAAGAAATTGATTGGCGTGAGAAAGGATTTAAGACGCCACCTGATAATCAACACACTTGTGGTTCATGTTATGCTTTTAGTATAGCGGAAAGCATAGAGGGACAAGTATTTAAGCGCACTGGGCGTTTACTTAACTTAAGTCCACAGCAAATTGTAGATTGCAGTATTTCTCATGGTAATCAGGGTTGTACCGGTGGTTCCCTTAGAAATACACTGAAATATTTACAAGATACTGGTGGTATAATGCGTGGAAAAGATTACAAATATGTATCAAAGGTGAGTTAAAAATAAATATTGATGTATAAAGTAATATAATTTATTTAATTTTTTCAAATTTGGTTAATAATATTCCCAGAAAAGTGATGCGAGTGAAAGATAGTGCAATTTAATAGGATACGAATAAGATAGCAATAAATAGGTTACTAACATTCTTCGCATCGAAGCACTGTGACTTTTGTTGGTCTTTTGTGCTGCTTACCTACTTAAACTTAACAGTTCATATAATTACTTGGGCCATAGAATATAAGACATTTTTTTATTTTCGAAATATGCATCAAAATATAGCCCGTTTAGGTCTTTCTAATTTGGTACTGGTATAGAGACGCCCATAATCGGCGCAGTGAAGTCTTTCTATAAAGTATCTAAGACGAAAGAAAGCTCATAAAGCATATGATTTAACTTCTCATCTATTTCAAAATAGAACCAACATTTTGGTCATCTTCTCATAATTGTAGCTCAACTTATAGTAACCTCTGATAACCTCAGCACTGTTACGCTAATATCAACTTCTGTCGGTTACAAATTGCTTTTCTATTACAGATTTTGTTGTGTTACATTTCTTTTTTTAAGTCTCTAAATCAAAAATGTGTTATCACCACCAATGAATATATTATCCTATTGTCAAAAACTAAAAAAAGAAAATCCGATTTATAATATAATATCTTATATTTGATGCCATCGGGTCATTATAGAAAGGTAAATGCCAGTTTGTGCCCGAACTAGCTATTGTAAATGTAACTTCATGGGCTATTCTACCTTCCAAAGATGAAAGTGCTATAATGGCTGCTGTAGCCCATATAGGTCCAGTAGCTGTTTCCATAAATGCTACACCCAAAACGTTTCAACTCTATAGGTAAGCATTTATTTTTATTCATTATTAATTTAAACTATACATGTAATATAAAAATATTTTTTAGTGACGGTGTATATGATGACGAAAATTGTTCATCTGATATGGTTAATCACGCGATGCTGGTGGTTGGTTATAAGAAAGACTACTGGATTTTAAAAAATTGGTGGGGCGATATGTGGGGTGAAGATGGCTATATGCGAATAAAGAAGGGCGTAAATCTATGTGGCATTGCAAATTATGCAGCATATTCTGTTGTCTAATAAATTCAGTGAAATTTGCTTTTAAACAATATTAAATATTATCAAATCCTAAGTATTTCAATTGAATAAAAACAAGGACATTTGATTTCTTCGTGGAATAATAAATTAATAAAAAGTGTATATTTCGTATTGATAAAATTAATCGATTTTATTTTAAAAATTTATTTATTTATTAGAAAAAAGTTATACTAAGTTATGCAGTTTAGTAGGTTTATAAAATAATTCTTTTGTATTTCAAGTGTGTCAAGCAATGATAATCTTTATTACGAGTATGTATGTTTGACCTAATGTGGTCACGAATTATCAAATATATAAAAAAAATACATATTACAATATATAATTATATATGATAATTTATAGATAATCCGAATATATTGACTTGGACTATCGTTTTCAATTTATCTTTGATTGTTATTAAAGATAAATAATATCAAAGAGCTTTTCTAATAGCATCAGTGTTTGTATTTTTAAATATTCTGAAAAATGATTTTAATATTAATTAATTTGTTCATGTATGTATAATTGCCCAAAAAAATCAATTACAAAATTTTGCTATTAGCAGAAAATCAAATGAAATTATATTTATTGCATTTAATGGTACTTACCTGACCATTAATCCACTTGAATATAAGTAAAAGAATTACAATTGTCAATAGGTTCCACTATAGGATCAGTAGGCAATATGATCCAAAATCTTACGCACTATAAGTCGCTCATAATACCTGCGCTTCAAAATGATACAAAAGTATGGACACCATCGAAGAATAATGAAGCAGAACGGGAGCTTCTACATAATGGATTCGTAATATTTTTGGTAATTTAAAAGTTGGAAACGATAACCTCATTCAAATGAACGATGAGCCATTCTAGCTTTAAAATGATATTAATTTAGTTTAGTCGGTTCTGTTGACTTGGACATATCATGTATATGAATGGCCATGTACCAGAGAAAGAGTTCTTTAAAGTACCAGATGGGGAAAAACAATTAAGAGTAGGACCAAGTCTGAGTTATTAAGTTGAGAAAACAATAACAGAGCTTGCAGCATGAAATTGCGGAAGAAACGCACACAGGAAGGGCGCTTGAAGAAGAGATGATGGCTGCGTTAGAATGATGTCAGTTTCTTATGGTCAAAGAATTATTTAATAAATATAGTGAGTTGGTAATAAGTAATTACTTACTTAGAGCTTAATAGCTACGTAATTTAAATTACTTAGTTTCACAGTCGAAATTAAATATCGAAATTATAATTAACTCATTAATTTTGTCAAATTAAGTGGTACTTGCGTCAGTAAAGAGATTTAAGTTAAGACTGAAAACGGCTCTTAATGTTATATATAAAAAAATTTGTATGAAAATTAAGAGTTTTATGGAAGTCAAATATATTAATTAAAACATGTTAAATAAATAAATTGTGATTGAAATAAAAACGCTAAAAATTTAAATTAACTTATACAAGTTAGTTCTTTATAATCATACTCAAAATATCGGAAAACAAAACGAAATTTATCTATTATACACAGAAATTGAAAATAATTTCACAATATTCTAAAATTGAAACCATTTCCAATTTCATTGATAAAGTTTAATGGTAAAATCAGAACAGCGAATTCAATAATGACTTGCGGCCTGCAAATATCAACTATAAATGTCAACTGCAAATCTAAAGTAAAATTTTAGTGATAAACTTTTTGATAACAAAAACAATAAAACTTTAGTGAAATATTAATAAAATTTTGTAGTAAAATTTATATACTCTGACAAGTTTAATTTTATCTCTACTATATTTTATAATACTTAATGCACATTTACTGTTCAACAGAAAATGATTAAGCAAATTTAAACAATAATGAGTTTAGAGTAATTTTTACATATTAAACTATGAACTGTTTAGGTGAATTGAATAATATAAATTATTTTCGAAGTAAATTATTATAACTTTTATATTAATTAAGTTATCAAAAAGATATCGTATGGATTTCTCAAATGTGTCATACCTGAATAAATATTATAGTATTCGTATTTACTTTTTTGCGCCTTTATATATTTTTAAAAAACAATCCCATCAAATGAAGTTCCAATTTATAATTTAAAATTATTATTAACATGTTAGGTACATGCAAACAAAAACTCAAAACAACTGTAAGTGTAGCAAAAAAATTTAATTAATACAAATTAAATTTGTCGTTGGAATTCATGATTGTTAAAAATCCATCCAACATTAAATTGAATATGGTGACTAGCAATTATTTAAGATATAATATTATGTGTGGCCTAGCACGCAGACAAGAACCGTGATTCTGGAAGACAAGCATCGAACCATCATGGTCTTTAGAAATATTTTGTTCAATTTAACTTTTGTGTATAATTTTAAGACTACAAGTAGCAGGTGTTTATATTGTGTCTTGATGAATTTTAGGCTAGAACTTAGCGCTACAATATATTGTTATCGCTAAAGGCTTTCTTAAACATATTGAATGCCTGATGGCACTTAATTCAGTATTTATCACATAATTTCATTTTAATTGCAACTCTTCGATCCATTAGTTTGTCTCATTCGATATAGGCGCACGAACTAAATATCACAGTTACATGATAGTGAATACGTATGTTACTTGCACTGCAACCAATACCGAAAAAAGACTCGACTTTATGAAGTAGTTAGGCAGGCACAATTTTAAGTTTGTTAATGTGGCATATTAAGCTCCAATATTAAAGCACCTATTAAGAATATCTATATTTTTTACTGTCTTCTAAGTTACGTTTTAAAATTAACGATTGTTCATTTTATTCAATATAACCAATTTGATTTCCATACTTTCTCTTTTCCTTTATGTTTGTAAAAAATTGTGGTTCCATAAACTCATATATCCAACTTTGTAAAACTTAATGGTTTTTGCCTGGTGTTAGTATAAGTAATTAATATGTAGTGGTAAGGATTTAAACTAATGGCTGCCAGTCAAATTTTTTTTGCTCTTTACATAATATTATTAAAATTTGGTCGGCTTGTTTCTTCAAAACTTTTACGTGATAAATTTCAGTCGGTAGTGATAATTGTTGAATTGATTACTGACATCCAAGCAGATAGAGAAACATATATTATTTACGTATGTTTGAGACAATCAAACAGAGAGATAATGACGTAGATAGACAATCTGGTAGACAGTTACTACTAAATCGATGCGTTTCATCAGACTGATTAAGAATAGACGAGGGTAATTGAAGTTTCTTTTCTATTTTTGTGCTCTTTATTCATATATCTAAGAAGGGTTTAATATGGAAAATTTTATTTATAAAAAGTAGAAAAATATTTGTTTAAATTATATACTATTTGAACTATTTATTTAGCATACTCTTCTATCTCATGTCAACAAACGAAATTATTAGTACTTATAACATTGACCAAAATTCATGTCGATATGATTAATACGTAAGCCTCAATCTATTTTATGCGAAAATTATTTTTGTAACTTTAAATAAAATAAATATTGACCTTTCGTATTTGAAACACAAATATTTTGATTAAATATGCTATAATATTTAGCAGAAGCATAGATTTGTTTGTTTAAAAATATTTATAAATAATTTTAAGTTACTAATTAAACATTTTGAACTTGATAGATAAGTTATCATCAAAAGTTCAAATTCATTTAAGAAATATAAACATAGACAAATTAATAATAAATACTTTAATAATAGATTTTCAAAATAATATGTCTACATGAATCAAGTTTAAAAGATTTATAGAAAAACGACATAAATAAAAATTTGTATTCGAACAATCATTAGCATCATTAATCTAAAATGATGATTATATTATAGAATTATATCAGGCACTAACAAGTGACAAGTGATATAACTGAGTATTATGTCTCATTTGTACTAAATATGTATTATAATTTAAGGATATTTGGTAGTATTGAGAACATTTGTACGATCAAGCAAAACTTTTCTTTATCCAATAAAGACTATTTATTTACTAAGTGATGGTACTAGACATGAGTTCATTTAAAAACCAGTGGTATTTATAAATATGAATACTATTAAATGAATTTAATCAAGCAAAAGATTATATATATTTAATAGTGCAATGATTCCATTATTGAGTTTAATTAAAAATATGTTTAAGATACTAAAAAAGTATATATTTTGTCTGGTTTGTTATAAAATTCGCAAGAGTAATTAAAAATTGTGTCGGTGATTCAAGGTGACCTTACAAAATTTTATGAACTATGGACTTTAGTACCTAAAAGAATATGGTTAGTCACTTTTTTACGGTATTTTTATTTCCTAATATGTCTGCCAAATTAATTTATATAATTAATTCGACGCTTTGTGTTTAATTTACGTCACATTAGCGCAGTATCAGGAATTTCAACCGGACCTTGTATTGTATAAATTATCTACGAAAATTTATATTGAGATTATGTTATATTAATACTTGAACCGGACCTTAAGTAATGTAATAGATTTAATTTAAATTTATGCAAAAAATATAAACACATGAAAAATATAAAATTGGAGATAACATATACTTGCCGTGATTTGTTACTACACTTGAGGTGGACATATTTGACTCAAGTAGAATTTGTTATAAATATGAAGTTATAAAATTTTTTATGGCTTTCGTAAGCTATGACTTCTGTGTGTCTATTAAATGTTACTATAACTCTAACTCGTCGTTCTTGTATCTGTAATACGACACACGTGTTTTGACCTAAATAATCTAATAATGTGGAAACATGTGTGATATCATATTTAAGGTTTTATTGTTAAATTATGTGGAAAAAAATATGTGGAAAATCGCACCTATCAAAAGAGGTGTCTATGCACATCAAAGGATTAATTTGTATTACAGTTGAGCCTTGCAAAGCAGATTCTAAATGAAACACCAACTGTGAAATTTATGTGTTGATATGGCTTTCCACGTGTAAGTTACATACAAATGTATATATATATATATATGGAAAATTATAATACATAAAAGAATAAATGAATAAGTGAAAAACTTTAAGTTTAAATTTACATAAGTATTTGTAATTAATTATTATAGACGCACTTAATTTATTAGAAGTTTTAGATGTTAGAA